CTTCCTGATCGCGATATATAGGCAAACGAGCCTGTGGCTCAGTGGTTAGGGGCGTTGGACACCTAACCAACAGGTCGCGAAATGGAGCCCCAGGTGTTCCACACTTCGGCATTGGCCATGACTGGCTTACAACGGTTAAAAGGCCAGAAATGGCCACTCCTGTCTCCTTTGTCTTTGTCGGTAATGTTATTCTGCCTATATTACGCGCCGCTGTGCGGCTGGTGGTTTGGCTCCAGAGAGAGCCTCAAAGCCCAACGGGACGGCGGAGTTCCGTAAGAACAATCGGTGAGCGCCTATCTACCACACCACACAATTTCGCTTAGGATTTATGAGACAGCAACCTACTGTATTTAACCTGAACTACAGACCTGGACATAATCACATTGCTGATTTAGGTGCGTACGGAGTACCTTTTTTGCATCGCGATACTGCAACTGACGTAGACCAAACTTCAGATGGGGGGGGGGGGGGTTTCAATCTCCCTTAGCTGAGAATTCTATAACGGCCATGTTAAATTTTTACATTCTGACCCTCAGTCCTAAGTGAAGCCGAGTGATGTTTTTGGCGGCATCTGAGGTCGTGATCATTGTCACGGCGTGAAACTTTCAAGCGCTTCACATTTACTATACTGAGGAACGCACTGAGCTGCTTTGAGGAAGTGTTCCTTAGGGTCCACCTCGCCCCAACAGATCCCACGAGATCGGTTATCGCTGGTAAAAATGAAAAGCGGGGAGGAGATGTGCGCGCGCCTCTGAGTGTAGAAACAGTATGCGTGTTCCCTGGAGTGGGGTTTGGTTGAAATCTGATGATACGCACTCCTGGAGCGTATGTCACCAGTGAGTAGGAAGAATAACCTCGAATTGGGAGAAGGAGCATATTACTCTGAGTCCTCAGACTCTTTAACTGAACCCAGTGTAATATTTGGAAAATTACAGTTCCTTTGGCCTTATGCTGATAACTGGCTGGTAGCAATCAATCAACATGTTGTTGTGTCTGACTCGAGCCCGACAGCGTAAAACTTGATAGGCAGGAAATAGATCTGAGGAGAATGAATTGCTCACCGGATCCTCAGATTACCGACCCGGATCTCTTACTTTTGCTAACCTGAGGAAATAGATCGTCAGATGGTTGCCTGCTGATGAGAATATCAAGGAAACCGGTTTGTTAGTTCACATTCTCCTTCCAAGACATGCGAAAAGACGAGTGACGGATGGAGGACCGATGGCTGAAATAAGAATTTTGATCGCCTCATTTACGCTTTAATGCATCGTCAGAGATAACAGCGGTTAAGGCTGGCGACTGCACATATAGTAAATTAATCATGCAACCCATTTGCTGACGCAATTGCCCACTCGTTAAACTTTGCAGCTCCCACGTTCATCGCATATGCCTCCACGAACTGTAAAGATAGCTTCACTGCACACCTCCAAGTCGTTATTGACCTCGATTTCATCCTAGTGTTAGATGATAGGCCATTTGACTCTCCGAAAGCTGGGTTCACCCGCACATCCCTCTACGCAGGCTAGGTATTAGCGTTAATGCCTGAGAGGGAAGATCATCGCGCTTACTGATAGGCAGCCACCGGAAATTCTTGATCCGAGCAGCTCGCGGCTCACGTGATCGTCATCACGAGAATTTTGACCTCGTCGATATTGACTGATTGGCCGGGTCGCTCGCGAGTGTGCCGTGACTTGAAAGTTGACACATAATCGCACTGCTACCGTGTGTCTGGCCATCGATGTCCGAAGTAACTTTCCTGTTATTCTCACGTAATTATTTTCCCTGCATCTACGTCAGATTCAATAAACAACTCTAAATGCTTTTATTGCGGCAACGGGTCTCTAGATTCCATCGCTTGGTGTGGTCTTCCAGGGCCACAGATCGGGTCAGATCAAATAACGTCGCCGGAAGAGAAAGGGTGATGACGAGAACGATAATTCTGCTGCTGATGGTGGTGATGGAGATGTTGATGATGAGGATGATGATGATGATGATGATGATG